TCGGGTTAGACTTTCCCATATAAGATCTCTGTTTTTGGGATCGCCATACACAAAAGTTAAAACGGATTTTGTTATCCTTAACTATGTCTTCAATATCAATTAACCGATTACTCTCAAAGAAAATAGTTACATTGAATTCATTATTAAAAAAGAGTGCTAATCCGTCGCTCCATCTGATAGGTTCTAAGGTAGAATTGTTTCCATAAACGACACACATTGTTTTGTCTCTGAAATAAATAAAAAATCCGGTCTATGTTGTTTCCACAAATCTCCTAAATAACCAATTATTGCCTTGCTCCCTAAACTTTCACAATTCGAGTTTAAAATCTTCATAAATAAACACGTTATTTTTTTGGATTTTTCATCCATTCCAGAAACCCCTCATTTTTCCGGAGTTTACCCGGTTATATCCTTGACCGATGTGGATAGAAATGCTTTTTCCTTTTTTATTTCTACTAGGTGAGTACCAACGCTACGCGTGGGGTTTTTATTTAGAAATAGTTCAAAGAAATTATGTTAGATTTTCTTTTAGTTATATACATTTTCTTGTATGTTTTTATGTAATAAAATTAAATCCATCTTATATTGTTATAAATTTAGATCCATCTTGATTCAAGATATCAATTAAACATTTTTTGTAAGCGAAATTATAAACTAAACTCTAGTCATGATGAGGAAGATTTTGATGGAGAGATTACATTGTGCATCGAAATGAAAATGATATTAAAAATTATAATTGATATGTTAGTAATTGTACAATGCTATCTTCTCATCAAGCATTAAGAGTGAGATTTCAAAGAAAACATCACGGTCGTTACGGTGTGTATTTCAGTGCAAACTTGCCATATTCTAACTATTCGATCAACAACGTGTTGAGTGTGAAATTCAAGTCGTAAATCATTAAAGAAAACATAGAGACCTTTGATTTAGATTATAACCATTCATGAGAGACATTTTGGTTATAAGTGAATTGGAGGAAGATTGCTTTAGATGTGTTACTTCGTTATTTTGAGAGAAAATAATAATGTATATATAGTGGTTGTTTTAAATATCCACTAAAATTTATTAAATGAGAACTTATTTTATAATTAAATGACAATATTTAATATTACGGTCTAAGGTGAGAATGTGAAAGAGCAAACACGATTGTATTATCGTAGAAGAATTCCAAGAGCCTAAATTAATGATTAGTTAAGGGAAAAAAATGAAAAATTGTAATTGTTATCAACTTATCATTCTAAAACATATAAAAATATTATTCTAATGAAATAGTGAAATATTATTATAATTGATGTGAGTCAAATTAAGACCTAAGACTACTCTCTCAAATAAGAGATAGTGTGTAGCACTTTAGGGTCGAATTCCACAAAGCTCTCGTGTTCACACAATAGACTAACAGGTTTTGAATTAAGCTAAACAGAAAATATTGTAAATTAAATAAAAGCAAGCAAGTAAAATTGGTTGTAGATTCAGATGAGGAAAACGTCAGGCTTAGGGATTTCTCAGGAAATAAATAAATAGTAGATCTAGCAAATTAATTAGGATTATTAACGAACCGTTCTAGAACTCAAATCACTAATGTATAGCCAACCACCTCTCGAATGAATTGACTAACTAAACCTAATATCAGGAAGTTCTACCTCTCGAATGTAAACTTCTAGAATTAGAGTAGCATTAATACCAGGTTTGATATGTTCGCAGATATTCCTAGACCACCTCTCGAATGTATCTAGTAATTTCTGCCCACCTAAGATAGTTCCAGTAATAGATGACCTCTCGAATCTACCTATTATCCTATGATCAAATTCTAGGTGATCAAGCTAGAATTAGCATTAAGAACAACCTAAGGTGAAGAACTCTACAGATTTTATCCTAACAGGTTATCAATCTACTAATTCATCTAAATCCCTAATGAAAATCCCTAAACCTAACAAGCAAACTACTCAGACATGGAGAATGAAACAAACAACATGATTGAATAGAATTGCATTGAGAAAATAAAGAAGAGATTAGAGTTTAGAAAGATCTTCTCTAGAGGAGCTATCTCCAATTATCTCCCAAAGGGTTCAAGCTCCCGAAATACAATAGAATAAAGCTTCAAAGATCTCTCTAAAATAAAACACTAAAAATCTATATATAAGTTCTTAAAAACGTGCAGGGACTAAAGATACAACTATGGAAGTCTTCTGGGTTGATTCTTCGGGCTTTAAAACTCTTAAACCGTCGAGACACCAAGGGGTGTCGGTCGACACTCATGCCTTGATCTGATACCGAAATCGTTCTTTCAGCTCTAAATCTTCGGTTTAGCTCCAGAATGATTCATTTTCTCCAAATTTGTCCCGAACGTGTAAAAACCTGAAAAGACTCAAAAAGACACTAGAAACAACGAAAAACTCTAAAACTGACTCATAAATCACGGTTAAAACCGGTAAAATCTGTGATATATCAACTCCCCCAGACTTAGCTTTTGCTTGCCCTCAAGCAAAACACAAAAACCGAACCCGTGGAAGAAGTTTGAAAACACAGAAACTCCCAATTTCTCTAGCCTAGTACCTTGATCATTCAAACCAAATCCATATGCCTAGCAGATCACATCAAATCCTAACCACCATGTAATTCTCCGCAAGCATTCTCAACATTCCAAATTCCAAACCAAATTCCACAACTATATCCTATAGCCCTCATCGCATAAATCTCATAAATAAAATCAGTACTCAAGAACCTTTCTAGACTCAATCCCGTACTATACCATGATAAATCAACCATTTTACACACTTATGTACTCTTTCTCTCCCCCAGACTTATTCTTTTTCAAACCATTTTTTTTTTTTTAGTTTCAAAGGTGTAGGCGAATAATGGTATCGTCGGAAATTTTTCTAACCTCGCTTCCAACCTTCGTGTGATCATTCCTCTTAAAGTAAAATAATGAGATCATGGGAAATTTTCCTATCTCTTTACTCCAAAAGAAAATCATCTCAATCTTTCTTTATTTTTTATTTTTTTTTATTTTTTTATTTTTTTAAAATAAGGGAGAGGAATACCATTCTTTTCCACATTGGTCTCAATTATCAGGTACGAACGAGGAGTCAAGTTCTACGAATACTAACCGTATTGACGAGGTGAAGAGCATGAACTTTTCTCAGGCTTTAGCTGATTGTGTTGGAAACGTGGATGTCATCTGGTTTATCGATTAACTTTCTGGGTTTTCCATTAGTCGGATTTATTTGAATCTGCAGCATTAAACTAAACATGCAATATTCTAGAGAAAAAGATCATAATTTCTAACAAAATTTTGACTCAATAAAACGACTTAAAAGAAAAGAAAAAATAAGAATAAGACTCAAAAAGAAAAACGTAGTTAGTAGCTGCCTCCCCCAGACTTAAACGACACTGTCCCCAGTGGCATTCAAACCCGAAGTTAGCGAGAAAAATAAAAGAAAAACGTAATATAAAAGGAAAAGAAAAAGAAAATCATCCAAGTGGGTTGCCTCCCACTAAGCGCTTATTTTCAGTCATTAGCTTGACTATGTCGGAGTTCAGGAATCAGGTGGATCAGATGGTGGAAGTAAATACTTCCTAGTAGAACCTCGCATCATCCAAGGTGGCGTATAAGCAGTTGGCGTGTGAGGTTGACCTAGGAAGTGCGGAACATCAGCAGGGCAGGACAGAGGTATGGGTGGTCTACTCCGTTTTCCTGCACAATCATCAAAAGAAAGAACAAGCGCTCGACGAGAAACTCGTGGCTTGCTAAACCGTAAAACAGATTTTGGAAATTGTAAAGTCTTATTGATGAAATCAGGAGGTTTAGGCGGAAGAGATGAGTACCGTAGCCTTTTCGGAGGTGGATGCAGTGTTAGAGGTGCATTGGTTTTCGTGAAAACATGTCCTGGAATATCAGCAGTGATCTGAACTTGCAAAGCAGCTTTAGTAGACAGTTTTGGTTCAGCCCGTGTGGGGTGTCAATCGACACAGGTGATGGTGACGATCGACACCATCTCTGCGGATCGATTCTCAGCAACGAATCTGAAACTGGCTTCATGTGGACGCTTGCTGCTACTGAGTACCTTGCCTAACCATCGATGGTGGGTAGCTTCCTCAACTTATCCATGTCATAATTCATGACCACATCTCACACATGTAGAGCTATTTGACCAAGCTTCACATCAATCCGAGCACCAGCAGAAGCTAAGAAGGATCTTCCCAAAATAAGAAGATCGGGAGGTTCTTCTTCATATTCCAAAATCACGAAGTCGGTTGGAATCAAGCATTGTCCAATTTTCAGTGGAACATCTTCTAAGATACCTTCAGGGATTCTCTTTGAGCGATCAGCTAGGAGAAGAGTAATCCTAGTAGCTTTGAAATCTGTCATTCCAAGTCTTACACCAACAGAATGAGGCAGCAAATTGATAGAAGAGCCAAGATCACAAAGAGAACGAGGAAACCTGTCTGTAGAGATTGAGCAATCGAGGACAAAGCTTCCTGGATCGGGTAGCTTCTCTGAAATCCTACTTGGATTTATGTCACTGACAAACTCTGAGATAGACACTATCAGCTTCTTGTCATCTTGTGTCTCTGAAGCATCATCTAGTATCAGAGCACTCTGAATAGGGGGTGACAACTTCTCTATATCAACCGGAGGCAACTGAAGTAGAATCTCATCCATGATACCCATGCAACGCTCCTCAAGAATCTCTTGCTTGGACTGTCGAGGCAGTGGACAAGGAACTTGTGGTGTGTAGACTTGTCCAGTAACAAGTGGAGATTCAAGACAGATAGGTGCAGTCTGAGTCCAGTGTCGATCGACACTAGATGAGTGTCGGTCGACACTACAGTCTGGTGTCGACTCTCTAGGGTCGAGCTTGCTCGATTCTGTTCCGTTAAACGTCGATTCTGTTTCTGTATCAGAGGAGTGTCGATCAACACCCAGGTGGTGTCGGTCGACACTAAGTCTGCATGTCAAGTGGTCCTGCAAATCAGTGTCGAGACAGCTCGATTTTGCTTCGTCACAGCATAATTTCTTGGATATCTGTACTGGTGTCGGTCGACACTGCCTCTGCAACCACAAAATCAGCTTCGCTTTCCAGCAAAACAGCATGACAAACAGTCATGACGGGAGTCTCTGAGATCTTTTACTGAAGTCCACTCCTCAACTGAACTGCACAAACGTCTGTCTTTTGGGAAGTTGTATGGTTAAGTTGATTACTCATGTCTTTAACCGTACAAACCAAATCGGAAATTGTGGCATCCCTCTCAAGTTGATGTTTGTAGATAGCTTCTAGCATTGCTTCAAGCCGGCTGGTAGACGGTGTAGTGGGGGTGGTATTGTGGGCAGGATGCTGGATGCTTTGGCATGAAGTGCGGACATATTGGATCTCGGCTTGTTCCAGTTGCTTGGAGTCTACCTTGGCGGCGAGCTGTCTTCTCTCGTTATCAATGCCTCTGATGCCATAGCTGGAAGCGGAATTCTCATTAAGATTTACTGCTTCGCTGGGTGTCCTCGAGGTGAAATTTCCATTGCTTGCTCCATCGAGGATGATTTGGTAACGATAATCAATGCCCTTGAAGAATATGCCAAGTAGACGAATTTCAGTGAATCCATGATGCGGACAATTCCTCTGATATGATCCGAATTTTAACCAAGCTGCTTTGAAAGACTCTGTAGGACCTTGAGAAAAGGAAGAAATCTGCAATCTCACTTCCTCGGACATTGATTCATCATAAAAGTGAAATAAGAATGCGTCCTTAACTTCCTGCCAAGTAGTTAGAGATCCTGGTCTCAATTGTCTAAGCCAGATCTTTCCTCTTTCTCCAAGAGAGTATGGAAAGAGTTTGCAGAGCAAGTAGTCAACTGGAATGCCTTCTGCCTTGATGCTTGAAACCATGTCCTCGAATTTCTCGATGTGATCAAAAGGCAATTCACCTTCAAAACCGTCGAACCGGTTCTTAGAAACGAGATCATAATACCATGGTTTGAACGCAAAATCAGCTCTTGCAGGTGGAGGTGGTCTGATCGCTGATCGATTGGAGTAGAAGAGAGCGGGTCTGTTGTAATCAGCAAACGTCATTGGCCTGTTGCCCGTGTGGTGTCGATCGACACCCAGTTGGTGTCGGTCGACACTCTCGTCAAAATCGTCCATTATCATTGTGATTGAATTTCTGAAGTTCCTAAAACACAAGAAACCAAGAAAGAAAATCACGTGAGTAACAAAAGAAGATAAAAGCTTAGACTAAATTCTATACCTAATCTAATGGTGAAGCGAAGAGAACTTCGGCAACGGCGCCAAATTTGATGTGAGTCAAATTAAGACCTAAGACTACTCTCTCAAATAAGAGATAGTGTGTAGCACTTTAGGGTCGAATTCCACAAAGCTCTCGTGTTCACACAATAGACTAACAGGTTTTGAATTAAGCTAAACAGAAAATATTGTAAATTAAATAAAAGCAAGCAAGTAAAATTGGTTGTAGATTCAGATGAGGAAAACGTCAGGCTTAGGGATTTCTTAGGAAATAAATAAATAGTAGATCTAGCAAATTAATTAGGATTATTAACGAACCGTTCTAGAACTCAAATCACTAATGTATAGCCAACCACCTCTCGAATGAATTGACTAACTAAACCTAATATCATGAAGTTCCACCTCTCGAATGTAAACTTCTAGAATTAGTTTAAAGCATTCCCGACCAACTACCTCATGTGGTTCGCATGCCACATCGCAATGTCATACTCACTACCCATATTTCTACTCTGGAATATCATCTCAAACATCCTACTTATTCATGGTGTTTACATACTCTCTTCCCGAGTATAAGTCAAGTTTTAATTTCTCTTAGAACTCCCTTTGAGAACCTTATATTCCTTAATTTTTCATGAGATCATTATTTTGTCAGCACATACGAAACCAATTTTGATTGTGACTATCAAGAGTCTTGAAATAGATTTTTTAAACAGAGTAGTTACGAGTATTTTTCTAGTTTCATATAAATCTAACAAAGAGAATAGTATAATAATCACTAAATCTTAATTGAAAAAATTTGTGCGTCTCATCATAGCGGTAGTTCACAAAATTATAGCATGGTCATAGCTAACGGACCCGCCTTGTTTGTCTCCGGTACCGGTTTCCTCCCCGACCTTCTCACCACCGTAAACCATCCTCCGATGGCATAGATTTATTCGAGTCCACATCCACAGTTGGTAGTGTCACCCCCACAGTTTTTTCCGAAGCCCCTTGTGGGCATGTATGTACAAGATGGCCGTACATTCCACACTTAGAACAAATTGTGTTCAAGCCCTCATAGGACATATAATACCTCTCCCCATTGACCATGACAGTTCCCTTAAGTGGTTTCTTCAAATTCACCTCCACACAAACCCGGGCGAATCGGGCCCTCTCAAACTTTAAAGTAGTTAAGTCAACTTTAATCGGATGACCCAAGCCTTTGGCTATCCCCAACAGTATCGAGCGATGATAGAAATTCACTGGGAGATTGGATAATCGAACCCGCACCGGTGTAGTAGCTATCTCATCCCTTAGCAGATCAAACTCCTGAATCCAAGCTTGCGCCAAATGGTAGCTACCAAAGACCCTCCATGGTCGTGTTAGGGCTGCCATATACTCCTCTTAAAACTCAAACCTGATCATAAATAATTGGCGAGGCAAATCCATGACAGTCATCTCTCCTACTGGCTTCCACATCTCTCTCAACCGAAGATCACAAGTTAACCGAGATCTTTTAGGAGGGAATATATATATTTTTTTTTAATCGCAGTTTAAGAACCCAAAAATAAGATCATCATTTTGGTTTTAAAATAAGATCCACATTTTACTTTTACAATTTAAATTTTTACGTTTAACTCCTACTCCAATGATTTGGTTTTCTCGTTCTCTCATATTGAACTTTCTCATAAAGCTTGTTTATCTCTGTTCTAAACATTGCATGTCTAACATAGAGAATTCACAAACAATTTTTCCTTGATCTTCTTCTAACTCCAACTTGTTCACTTTGGCTTCTAACATCATCTTTTCCTTAACCAACTAAATGTTATCATTGCTTATTTTAACCTAACTATCATAAAGACTTCATAATTCAGCTTCAAAATCAACATCTATATCACTTTCTCAGTCACTTTTGCTGCGGTAGAAATCGTGTTTGTTACACAAGAACCTGCAGATTCATGTTCTTTGTTTTTTTTCTCAGATTTCATATGTCCTTGCAAATTTGACATTCTCCTCAGAGCTTGACACGTGGAAAAAACTGTAGTTAACAAAATCATGTACGAATAAGATGTTTATGAGAAGTTATTATACTGATATCTAAATTTGAGTTCACATAGTAATAATAGTTTAGTAAATAACAACTTAGGTGTTTTAGGAATATTTAATACAGTAGATAAATTGAGATAGAGTTATAACATTAAACTAATTAAACTTAGTTTATCTTATTATATAGAGTTTGAACATTCTCACGAAAGAAAGTTTGATACATATCAAAAATTTTACTAAAGGGATCGAGACAAGTGTTAGTTAAAACATATTAATATAATACGTAACTTTTTCATATATATTTGATGAAACCATAATACTGTACATGACTTAACTAAAGATGAGTCGAAATACATTTTAAAGAATAACTAGATAACAACCCGCACGATGTGCGGGATGAAGCGATTCAAGTAAAATTATTATGATTAAAATTATTATCCGGGATCCAAGACCCGTTTGTGTAAAACGAAACATGTTACAATTTTTTTTGTTTAATTCAAATTTGGGACTATTTCATACAAATGTGGTTATAATGTTTTTCTTCGAAAAGTTAGAATTCCTCCAAAAAATAGGATTTTAAGTATTCGAACATATATAGAAAGGAGATTATCTTATTTATTTAAGTAAAAAATTTATGAAAGATGTAAAGATTTTGTAGTTTTGAATTCGAGATTCTTGAACCAAATGTATATATTTTATCATTTAAATATAAACATAAATATAAATATAAATAAAAAGATTGTTTACCCATCCGCTAAAGAAAATTTATATAAATGTATATAAAAAAATATAAATATAAAAATATAGTAATATAAGATAAACAAAAAGTGTATGTTTTTAATTATTAATGGGATATATGAATGTAAGAGACTAATGGCAAATTTTGTAAATAGTCTAATAAATCTTGGGTAATTATCTAAATAGAAGTCAAATCATTGTGAGAGCGACACATCAGCTTGGCAATCTTGTTAATAACACATGATGGTAAGGTTTTTTTTTTTAAAATGTTTCTCTATTAATATATAGGGGATTTAGTGAGGAAAATGTAAGTCATATGTGATATCTTATTAATAATATATTAATGTTACTAAATAGTTTTTCAAAATGTATTTTGACCTATCTTTTAGTTAAGTTTTTTTGAACAAAACTAAAACTTAATTTTGGATTATGAAACATTTAATACTTAAATTCATAGTTGATTTGAGTAAAATTTAATTTAGTGTTTACATATGATTCTTTTTTCTTTTAACATATGGGTTTTATTTAATTTGTATACAGATGATACAAATAATTTACCAAACAGCATGGTGTTATAGAAAAGGTTTGCTATAGAGAATCCATATTAAAACAGAATTTCCTAAATTTATAATTAAACAAATATGTTTTAGAAAATACACATGTCCTAATCTAGTTTTAAATAAACTAAACATAGAAAACTTTATACTATAAAAATATCTTCTCTATGAAACTGAATTGAGTTTGTACAGATGAAGTACAAAAAGTGTACATAACACACATCCGCTTCGGATGCATGGATGCATATGTAGGCAACACTTTAGTGACTAGAGACGAAAGTGGAACAGACCGGCTTACTGTGATTGACCATGAGGAGTGCCTAACTCAGGTAAGCTTGACATTTTGGTTTCTTATCCATAATAAACATGTTATTGTCCGCAACTAACTGTCTTGTTTTGCAGACAAACTTGGAGAATTATGGTGGTCAAACGGAAAAGAGACAGATGAGGATTTCACCTCTGAAATGGTGAAAGATGTAACGCAACTCAATGTTGATAAGTACATCTGCTTCTTAAAGAAGGTTGGTTGGGAAGTACCTTCACTGATCGTCCTCCGTTTGAGAGTTCTTACTCAGGTTTTGAAGTTGGCAGTTAGATTGCAGCTAAAACCAGAAGATATTGGATTGCTTGCTACAGGGCGATACAAGAAGTATCCCAGTCTAAACCTTCTAGACATGGTGAATTCTTCTGATAGAAAAAATGGAGATGATGCCTTGTAAAAAGTATATGGACAAAGATGGAAGAAGGGCTAAAAGAGAGAGTAGATTCTCTGAATATGGTTGATCCTGATTCTGAGAGAGAGAGAAGTAGAAAGAGAGACAACTTATGAAACTATATTCTTCTCTCTTTTTCTAGACTTCGACTAACCAAAAATATTTTCATATCTTCAGTGTGTTATCAACTATTCTCATCTATAGTGCATTTATCTCAGACTTTATGATGGACTTTATCTTAGGCTTTATCAACGAGTCTGTGCTGAATCTAGTCAAAACACCAATAAAATCAGACTAATCGATTTGTTTTTCGTTTGAATCTAGTCAAAACACCAAATAAAATCAGACTCATCGATTTGTTTTTCGTTCACCAACTAACAAAAACAAACATGAATCTTACTTCGCCAGAAACATTTTTTTATCCAAACCAAGCTGAAATTTGACATATCAGAACCAAAACTGATTAGAAATTAATTTTGGTTTAGCTCGGGAAAAAAAAACTTCCAAACCGAAAAATTTGACTCGAACTGACCCGTTAGGAACGAATGCCCATCCCCTTAGTACTTTATGAAATGGAACACCATCAAAGATGGAGAACTCAAGAGCCAAGTGATGAAGTGAAGTAAATTTCGAAAGAATTTGTAAACATGAACATAGCTAATACATAGAAATAACAACTTCGACTCACAAAACTCAAACGAACACGAACAACTTTATATATAATTCTGTAATCAAATAACGTTCATAAAACGCAATATTGATCTTCAAGCCAGCTCTCAAGATGAGAGAAACCCATCAATAATGAAAAATAGTCGATAATGAAAGTAATCGAGCTAAACATGTTCTTATTGTGAGATTCTAAGAATATGTGTAATGCAAGTCTTTCATCATAGTCCATCTCCGATTGTCCGCAGAAGGTCTGAAAGTAATAATATAATTTGACAGAGTTAACTTTCATGAATTTTTTCCTGGTGGTAATCGATTTGTTATTGATTCTTCAGGCTGCTCTTTTGTTATCCAAAGCTCCCAAGGAGATTGTTGGTGAACCTATAGATGCAAGAAAGGGCTGGTAGCTATTGGAAAAACATTTAAAAAAAAAACTCTCCAAATGTTGCTAAAGCTTGTGGATTTCTACGTTCCAAAGTTATCTTTCATGTCAAGAAAAGGTTAGTAATTACTTTGCACGATCACTAAACTCTGCTTACTGCTCCTTGATTGACGCACAGATATGGAGAGTGGTAATTTTCCACAACAGGAACAGGTAACAAGTTACATCCACCACATTGGTGTTTAGAGAGTTTCTCTTCCTTAACGGATTAATTAACCTCTAGACTCTCGCTCTCAGGAAATAATGGGAGTCTTCAATAGGAACTGCATGTGATAACTTAAGCTGAAACATTTATAGAATTCTTTGTAATCAGGTTGTGTTGAACCTTGTAATCTAGGCTCTAGTTTTTGGTTTGTAGCCATGTTTGATCCAGTCTCTCGGGACCTGTTAATACTCGAATCAGGTTGTGTTGAAGCTTGTTAGGAGTGTACCATTCACAGTAGATTCTTAGGCCGTTTTAAGTTTTTTGAATAAGTTTCATTGGTTTTAGCTATTGATACTCCCTTAGATTTGCTTAATTTTCATCCTTTATTTTGGTCTAGCATACATCTTCTTGTTACTTAGCTGTATATTTATCAGTAGATTGGAAATTCAACAACTATTGTTCCAGAGTTTTTTGGTATTTGCATGCTTCAATGCTAATACTGTTTGTTATATATGTTCTACAGCTTGTTTTTCTATCCGAATCTCGGTAAGCCGGCTTGAGAATCTCGCCGCAGTCGAGGAAGCTAGGAAGTCTTTTTCAGAGAATTGGCCTTTGCTTGGGATATGTTGCTTCATCGAATCAGGAAGAGAAATTGAGATAGATAGAGAGATAGAGGTTAAGAATAACTCATGTTTTGATCTACCTAAATGAAAAAAGCTTTATCTCTGACTAGTTTGCTCATTCATCAATCTTAAAGTAGAACGAGCAAAGACATTATTAGAGTTTATGTGGAGTACTTACACTACATCGCCTCTACAAGAAAACATGATAATACCGACTACAGAAGGCGACTACATAGGTAGTCGTCTTTTTCGGCGACTATTTAGTGACTCTTTTACGACTAAAATACGTAGTCAGGTATAGTCGTTATTTAGTCGCTATATGGCGACCAAAACATGTAGTCAGGTATGTAGTCGCTAAAATACGACTATCTACCGACTATTTAGTCGAAAGAAGAAGATAGTCGTATAATAGTCGCTAATTATACGACTAAATCTCCGACTAGTGGGTATAGTCGCTAATTTGGCGACTATTATACGACTATATTCGGCGGGTCGTATGGTAGTCGCCAATTAGTCGTATTATGTTGTCGGCAAACACGTGTTTTTCGTTTCTGGGTAGGTGTACATGTTTTTATACGACTACAATATGTAGTCGTCAAATAGTCGCTTAATAACTGCCTATATAAAGAAACCATCACGAGTGCTATTTCATTCATCATCTCTTCTTCATCTCAATTCTTCTTCATCTCTCTACAATCATACGAAAAAAAAAAGGTTTATAGAAAAAAAAAATCAAGAAAAGATATATATATTTTTGTAATGGCGGGAAATTATAATTATGGCGGTAATGGTGGTTATTCTCGGGAGTGGATGTACAAGAGATTTGATGAAGTGATCGGGTTATTTGACCGCTGAATACGTAGCAGGGGTGGAGGAATTCATGACGTTTGCTAATAGCCAGCCTATCGTCCAAAGTAATCGGGGTAAATTTCACTGTCCTTGTAGTGTGTGCAAGAATGAAAAACATATTATCTCGGGTAGAAGAGTTAGTAGTCATTTGTTTAGTCAAGGATTTATGCCAGATTACTATGTTTGGTATAGACATGGGGAAGAAATTAAATCAATATGGATATAGGAACGAGTTATATTGATAGGACGTATCTAAGTGAGAATCATGAAGACGTGGGTAATGTTGTTGAAGATCCATATGTTATTTCACCTAATCTAATTCATCACTTGACTTGCAGTGTTATTTCACCTGAAATCAATTCAAGTTGTTAGGAGCATGTGAACTAGAGTTGTGATACCAGTTGTTCTAAAGCTGAGATCTGAATATCTGTGTTAACTTATTGCTACAATTATTTGAAGGGTTCTATTGGCTGATAAGCGAAGAGTCGTAAATATATTGGCTTTGACTGGTTGCTTTTATTCTGTTAGATTTCCCTCTAATATAAGGCTTATATTGTTAAATCCGAGCCAACACTTAAAACTCCCCGCACACAAATATCACCATCTCCTAGAGGAAACTAAGATCATCAAAACAAAGTGAACTGAACCGGAAAACATGAGACGAAGATGTTAAGTGTCGCTTTTCGTTTGTTTTTGTTTTCTTGAATGCTTGGGGATTTGAATAGATTATCACTTAAAAAAAGGCATATCATAAGAGTAAACTGGACAAGACGAGAGATGAGAAAATGGCGGGGTGACCAACGTTGTGTTGGCCCAGTGGTAAATCTCCCAGGTGGAGGTACTGGGTTCGACGCTCATGGATATGACATCGGGGTAGTTCTGCGGGGACAGAGTATCAACGCTGCTGTCCTCCCTCATCATTCCCAAAACTTGTCTGCATCACCTAGTATGGAATTTTCGTTTGCTTGACTGGTTCGGTTTCTCATTACCTGAAACCAAAGGAGTGCTAACTGAAGAGATGACTGACACTCCAATGGAGAAAACATTGGTTATGGAAGAAAGTGTTACCAGCAAATCGTGAAGCTGAGAGCAGCCTTGCACATAGAATAGAATCAAATGTACAATTATATATATAACTTTAAATGCATTAGCGTTTCTGCTGCACAAAGCAAAAGTCAACGTATTAATTGGTTAAAAGAGCATGTACTTACTAAATGAAAATGAGAACACATTCCTCTTTTCAAACATTCGTTCAAGTCTACCAAGAGTTTAAAAAGGCAGCAAAAAATGTCATAATCATTCAAGAGCATAAGGGAAACGAAGAAAGGCGACTAGAGAAAGACAAAAATAAAACAGAGGCAAAAGAGTCTGGGAATTTGGTATCAAGTCATGGAGAAAATCCATCGAGCATTATTGAGACTCATGTTGGAGGGAGCAGGGAAGGGTTCGAGGGTCTTGGTTGAAAGATTGAACACACAGATGTCCACCTCAGAAGGGGGCACGACATGGGCGGTTTGGTTCCAGTTGGTCTTGGAACTAATAGGGTCCTGACGAGTGAAATAGATAAAGTTTGGTTTGATACCAAGGGTATGGTTAGCAGGCACAGTGATACCCAAGTCGAGAAGCAGGGCCTCATCACCAAGAGAATCTAACTGAACGAGATCGGGCATTTGGTCATCTGGCTCAGCATTAGGATCCTTGTAGTAGATGCGGAAGGCTCTTTCGCTACTTTCAGAGGTTGTGATTGTGACCAACAAAAACTCTCCTGCTGTTGTAACCACCAGGCTAGAATAACAATTATATCCAAGATGAGAAAACGTTGGGGATGTGTAACTCCGGGTGAGTTCTTCGAAACCTTGCTGCCCAGAAAAATCTATGACTCTAACGACTCTACGAGTCGTTAAGATGTATAGACGGTAACCCCGAAGAACCAGACCACATAGGCCAGTTAACTTCCTGGGAACTCCATAGGTAATTGGAATGAGATCGTAATGAGCATTCCCTTTCTTGTAAAGGCATACAAAACAAGCAGGGGCGTCAAAGTACCACACTAAAGCCACCTCTTTCGACTCCTCGTCTACCCACAAACGTCCCTTGATTTCATCCGCGTATAATAATGAGTAATAAGAGCCATCAGTAGATTCAAATTCAAACTCCTTATCTCTATCTACCATACGCTTCAGAGCAGAGTCGTTCGATAAAACCGACTCTAATGGAGGAAGATCAATCCTATTCCCACTAAACACATGTATAATATATAATCTGGATCGAGAATCTAGCATCAACAACCATTTACCGCAGCTTGCCAGGAATCGACTCCCTGAACAGTCTATCCCTCTTCTCCTGTAAACCATGTCTTCGTATGGGTTGTGCAGCACGTAATCACCTTCATCTGGAAAAAGCATTAGCCATGGACATCCGCTTTTCCGGGGAACTGTTTGTTTCGAAACTGAATACCAGTTGGAACAAACCATCTTAGCTCGGTGGAAATCCACAAAGTTCAAAAGTTCAAACACAGATCTGAGGATATCGAGAGGGAGTTTCGACCAGTTGACAGGGTTAGGAGTCTCCATGTTGTTTGATAGGTTTGTTGGGGAGCGTTTGGGTTTCTATGCTTTCCGTAATTAAATATTATGATAACCGACGTGATTTACTAAGAAAATATCCATTTCCATTTCTATTTTACCAAAAAAATATCCATTTCTATTTTACTAAGAAAATATCCATTTCTATTTTACCAAAAAAAAAAAAAAAAAAAATATCCATTTCCATCTTTAGCGTGTTTAACCCAATGAATGGTCATAAACACATTTCACTGTTTTATATCATAAGTAGTATTAACTATTACAGCCTATGCGATGCATTGGCTAAATTTCAAATTAGTTAAAAATTTATTTCTTAAACAACCAATGAACAATCTTATTATATAAAGTATGGTTTTAAAGTTAGTAACTCATATTAACTATGTAAAAGTGAAAGTAAAGAAACATATCGTTGGCTTAATATGTTAATAGAGACATTATTTTAAGTGGTGGTAAACTCATGCAACACTAAAATATGATTGAATGTGAAAAATAAATTTTGAGTGGTAAACTATTAAATTTGTAACGAAATGTAAATAAAATGACGGTTTGATATGCTGATTATATGTGAAATATTTCATGAAAAAGTTGTGAAAGGCAAAATTGCAAACCATGTTTTTTGAGATTTGACAATAATAATAATGAATATTTTTGCAAAAAGTTTGGTGATTGGTAATTTAAATTAACTTGATTATTATAATAAATGCACTAAAAAATATAAAATATAGAAATGCAAATAAGTGAATTAAAGTAAAAAGATGAATATATAAACAAAATTTCTCTCTAATTAATAATTTATCTTCTTATTTCTTAAAAATATTTTATGTTCACAATAAAAATTTAATTTACCTTTTTGTTAAATTTAATTTTATTTCATAAATTTAAACCCGCACATCGGGCGGGTCCTAATCTAGTATTATGTATAGAAATGTTGAATAGATTAAAAGCACTAATTTATTTGTAATATTATATTAGTACAAAGATTTACTGAAAATAAAATTAGATGAAACAAAAAGCCTATTTGAGATTTAATAAGGAAATGCAAGAAAATTGATTGAACCTTGATTGGACCAAATACAACACTTTGAAGAAATGCTTTGGGAAAACATATTGTTTGAAAAGATGCTTGTTAAAGGGTGTCGACCAAATTCTTCAAGAACCCCATTAACATCCTAGAAGATTTTACAAAACCTCGATTACTATCTAGTTGTGTGCACAAAAATGAAACGGCAAGAACTTGTTCCACTACTTACATGATACTTTAACGATTGCAATATCACAATGAATCATTGATCACATAAACTCTTTTTTAACCATCATTTGTCTTTGTCCGGTAAGAAATAACCATTGTGTTTCCACAATTACCACTCTCACCTTAGTCTTAACTTGTCGGAAAGCCTACAGTTCGAACATGGATTTCAAACTTGGTTCTCCATCAACAGAGACATAGATACATGCGTCATAAATGCTCCAATAGAGATTCATCTCAATCCCACCTCATTTGACATATCAAACAATAGAATATATCAACATTTACTCTAAATTGATGTGCCTCAAAAACTCATGAATAAAGCCACAACTGACCGTTAGAACCACGATCACACCGTTGAATCTCTAGCTAATAGTACCATGAAGCTCTCCACCAATTTTCATCTCGATCGGACATCAAATGAGCCTCCCACGTTCTCCTCAAGATACTGCAACAGAACTGATTTCTAGGGCTCCAGGCTTCACCATTTTATTTTGCAGGATCATTGGTTTCTTGTGCAGAAAGCAATGCTCATAACTTCATGAACATGACACCGATATTCAAGTTCCGTCAGTGTCTATGGATTCTTGAAACCGTGAACTTTCCAATCATGCCTTGATCTTGAACTAAGCCCTTCAGACGGGAAATCTCTCTCCAATATCTCCACTCGTTACAACTCTTATTCTTTTCTTCTTTCTTTTCTCTCCTTTTCTCGCTCTGTTCTCAACATCACCGGCTCCGATATGTCTCTCATCTTCTCTAGTCTATTTTCCCTCCTTATCACAGATCCAAAGTAGCCAATACACATAACAACAACGACAATGCTAACGACACGTCGACATCGCAACAACGCCTCCATCTCTTTCCTCTTACGAATGAGGGACAACAACAATAAGAACATGATTATGGCTTTTCAAAGCTCATCAAGGTGATGGTCTGATCTTAAGCTTTAGGTGTGCGTTTCCCTCTGACGGCTCGTGAAGAAGAACTTATACATAAGTATATGTATCCACGACACATGCATACTTAGTTTAGGCCTTTAGGATTGGTTATTGGGCTTCGATGGGCCTCATGTCCAAATAAGAGAAAGCCTATATAGATCGGAATGTTACAAGATTAGTGTTTGTGGTTGCAATGGCTAGCGACAAAGACCATGTGTCCTTTGCAAAAGAACTTCTCTCACGTTTAAAACCAGAAGAAATTATTCTAACAGAAGCTGACATTGGTGGTGGTAAGGTAAGATCAACGGCGAGCTCGGTTTTGAAATCATAATGGTTAAAAGCTGCTGATGAGTTAGGTTTAGTGTCTATAAAAGCTTCAGAAAACAAAACAAAACTATGTTGGATTCCTTAAAGCTTGCCTATAAGATTCTCAGCGATAACACAACCAGTAGTAGGGACTCAGGAATGGTTATAGTCACAGGTTCACTTCACATTGTATCTTCAGTCTTAGCTTCTCTTCAACATTAATTTTCATTATATTTTGATCTTCATGATCTTTGATGGTTATACACTAGTTCGAACCCTCCGAGCAAGTCAGAGACTTTCAAACAAAAACAAAAAGTTGAGTTTTGTCCCACATCGGTTATATAGAGAAGTAAGAGGCTTGTGGGGTTATTATAAAAGGAGAAGAGGTGGTGAGGTTTCAAAGTATGATCCTTCAGGCAAGTTAAAGGGGAAATGAGGAATGGGTTTAATCTCACTTTAAATGTGGGAAGAGCGTTCCGCTCAAAGCCTGTTACGACAATTGGGCGCTCCAATTTTTATACCATCTGATCCCTCTCTTGTTCAAACATTTTTTTTCTTACTCAAAAAAAAACCAAAAATATATTATTAAATAAAATAAAAAAATTATTTGTGTGTTCCTAGTGATTTTAATTTATTATTTATTTTAGTTGTAATATTAATAAATTTATTAGTTTGTAATACGAAGTCAGATAATTGATTAAAAGTAAATATTTATATTTGACATATATATTACTTAATACTTATTGTATTTATATTCTATTTTTTAAAAGACTACTACCCATGGAAATAGAAGAAATTATATGCAAACTATGAATGAAACAATATATAAGCTCAATTGAAATTTTATATATTTTAATTAATACGCACCAAACTCCTTACATCTAAAAGATTAGTTTATTCTAAATACATAAAAACCGAAAAAATTTGATCAAATGCTTACAATAAAAACCAAAACATAATTGCATAACACCAAAAGATTTTGAACATGATAATCTAAATTGAGTTATATTTATATGATTACCATTTAATTTTATATCAAACAATAAGACCTAAAATTGATCAAAATGAATTCAAACTTAAACTAAGAAAATCATATTTTATCTAGCATCGGTCTAACTATATTTAATATTTTTTTTAAACAAAGATCTTTCAGTCTCATTGTTTCTAATTTTGGGCATCTTGCTTTAGCTACATGCGAGTCTTATTCTCTTAGACAATTTTTGTTACGCTTGGTACATTCATCATAATGATATACGAGAAAAGGGTAGTGGAGAGTCTCGAGGAGACCAGAAAGTTTTTTAGTCTATGCTTAACTATATCAGTATCGTTTCTCTTCAGGAGTTTGGCTATGTTTTTGTTTGTTTTCATTTTGATCTTGTGTACATGTCCGATAAATATAGGGAACGAACGTTATCGCTTGTGAGCAATGGAAAACTTATGCGTAGTAAAAGAAACGAAATGAGTTAATCAGTTTTATGCTTCTTCCTAACGAGTCAGGAAGATGCTCTTGCTGAAATTTAAGAGGAATTATCTCCAAAATGTGATAATTTTGAAGCCTCTGCAGTTCTTGTTTCTCCCAACAATTTCAACTTATGCAATAAAATAAGCCTCTTTGGATAGATAGGCTTCTCAAATCTTCAAGGTTACTCAAATATTTATATTAGTTGCTACACATGTTAAGCCCGCAAAAATCCGAAACTACTCAACTGAATTAGAAGTGTTCTTCCAAAACTTTCACATCAGTCAAATCTTTCACCGGCCTCTTCTCAGTACACCTAAGAGCCATGTCTGTACCTGGTGCAATGTACCCAGTTCTGCTTGTAATGGTGGCCGTTGTAATTGTTGAGTCTGAAATCTGAAACGCAAGGCTCCATATCCGAGTCCATGCGATTCTCTGATAGATGTTGCGGTGAAAGATTGGTGAAAGCTTCAGTCCGTTTGCAATTTCGACAGCTATGCTGAACCGTGCAGACCAGTCAACTTGTTGAATATGTTGTGCCGAGTTTATAAGTTTCCCCTGTAAGCCATAGTGTAGACTCTTTAACAAGCCTATGAAGAAAGGAATTTCACCTCCAAAAACTTTTCAGTCAAGCTCTGATCATTGAGTTGGACTCGGACATCAAAACCAAGTGTGCCAGGTTTAGCAGATTTCCCAATTCTGGAGGTATTTAGACTAAAATCCTCTCAGAAATGTAAACGTTATATTGTTCATATTTCCTGTTCTGAGTCTTAGCCTTGTGAATCACTATCTTTGTTTTGCCTTTCTAAAATTCAAAACCTTAAACCATCTCATTCAATCTTAATTTGACACCCTTACATGTAACTTCTATTAGGAGGAAGCAGATGATTTAAATGGAAACTACACGATTCATAATGGAAACAAGTTTCTCTTAGATAGCTTTAAAGCAAAAGAAAGAGATGCAAAGTCTGATTGAATGTTCCAGTGAAAAGTGATCAGTCACGTTCACTAATGGCCGTCAAGTGCTCGTCAATCTCCTCTGTTCTCAGGGAACGGAAGAGAGGGTCATCAGCTCTCACAACTCCCACCTGCCAACACAACAGTGGCCAGCATAAATATTTACATGACTTTCACAAAGCTTTAACAAAACTTCATTTCCATTGGTTTCTCCTTTATTCCTAACCACTGATAAGACTCTGCCTAACACGATACGACTCTGGCCAACATATATACAAAATACTACTCTTGCCAACATATATACAAAAAGGAGTACAGATAGTGAAGAATTGATACCTCAATTTCAGTTGCTTTGAAGTCTTCTTGAAGAACAGATTGGAGAGCGGATATAGCAGTCTACAAAAGTATGATAACTCAAAGTCAGATATAATGGGCTAAGTTTGTTACAGAATTTTGGTGTTTTGTGCATTCCTACAATTTCTAAACCTAATATAAAACAATAAAGCTTTTAAAGTGCAAGCAAATGAACATTGCAAATGATCAACCTGCATCACTGATAGACAAACAAATGCTGCTTCCGATCTAAAACTATGGTAAAGGAAGAAAATAAAGGAGGATTGTCCATAATTACCTGTACTGTTTCATCATATGTGAAGGCAGGGTTTTCTTTCATTTTCTTCTCCAAGAAATTGACTGCTTCTTGTTCTTTCATACCAGCACTAGTTGCCTGCATCATATGTTTGCTTACTTATTAGTTGAGAAACTTTATCTAGAAGCCTCTGATCCTATGGAACAATAGATCTGTACATTGTAGCCTCTTAAAATGGTGGGTATGTGGTCCAGAAGCAACATATGTACCACATATGTGACTACATCATATTTCACAGGTTTACAATGTGTAGATCTTTTGGTTTCACCTCCATGGTCAACTAGAAACTCTTAAAAGCAGATAAGTTATGTAATGGTACAAGAAAATAAGATAAACATCTATAGCTTTTCTCAGTACAGTATCTGGTTAGGCAAGATTGATAGAAAACTAATGACTTGAAAGAAGTAAGTGCAATATAGTGTTTCTTTCTTCCATGTTACCATAGGCAGTAGTCTAAATCAATATGCATGTAAGAGGCAGAGGCTTATCTAATCATAACAAGTAGGTGGTATTACCTTGTGACCGTAAAAATGTCCAGCTGGGTCACACTTGTAAAGTAGAGGTCCTCTCTCTTCATCAATACCGAGAACCATGGCAACTTCAGAAAGACAAAAAAAACAAGAATCAGGATAAAATAAATCCAACTAACTAAAACCAGGAGTAAACCACACAGACAAACACAACCAAATGTATAAATAGGCATTAAGAAAGGAAGAGATTGCAAACTTACCTACTCCAAGGGGTCTCATATAAGCATGTTGAGTGTAAACCTGTGACTTATCTGCAATCCTGTCAGCCCAATTGCTCAATCATTAGTTACTTCCACATGCATACTTCATCAGTGTAGAGGCAGATAGAGTGATAGCTTAACTCTCCATTCATTAACAAAGAACTAATCAAACATAAGTGTGCAAGAGTATACCATTTAGCAAGAATATCCGCAGGCATCTCGTATCCATATTGGAACCTAAACTCAGCTGCCTCATTCCTTGCTTGTTGTACCAATGACCTTGAATCAGCTGCAATTCCATTGAAAGGGTACAGATTTCAGAAATATCAAAACTTGATCATCATAATTAACAAGCATTATGATAGATTTATACAAACCTGTCATGCCAGTAGCTAATAATCCAAGGTACTTGGTAACAGGGAAAAGATGAGATACACTAGACTGATCTAGAAGCTTGTCCTGCACAATCATAATAAAAAATCTCAACTTTATCAGATCCATAATTCAAAACCCTCACTTGAACAAAAACCCTTAATTCGATAAGTAAGAACATCGATCTTTGAATACGCATTCTACCCAAAAACACTAAGAGGACTCACCGGAACTTTCTTCTGCGTAACGACGCATACTGAATCTTTCCCTCGGACACCGATCGATGTGATTCCAGCTGCTTTCACGGCTTTGAAAGCATACTCTACAAAATCCGTAACCATAACATCAATCTCCGAAGCTAAAAAAACGATAGAAAGGTCGGAGAAATCGATTACTGACCTACTTGGAAGAGACGACCTTCTGGTGAGAAAATAGTGATGTGACGATCGTAACCAGCACCGCTTCCTCTGCTCATCTTCTTCTTCTTCTCCGAAGACTCACTAATCAAAACAAAAACTTTCTTCGAATTTTTCTACTTGTGATCTGTAGATTGTGACGAGACAAAGGATTATAGAAGAAAAGCTTTCTTTGTCTTCAAGACAGAAAAAAAAAAAAAAATTGCTGAGGGATAGTCAATTTCCCAAAATACCCTTGAAATAAGTTGATTACATATGTTTCTAACACTCGATCGAACCGGACAAAGCGAACCGGCTATAATTAAATATGTGGGTTGGTGTTTTCTTATACGTAATTTGGTGGGTTCGTGTTAGATTATTGAAATTTTGGATTCCAACTTGTGATTATCATTCAAGCAAAATTCTAAACTTGTACAATGTCAAAGGATTGATCTGAATAGATGATGATGTAGTGTAACTACTTAGACCATCTCCAATCGTTGGCTCTATTTCTTGCTCTAAATTTGGAGTGCTCTAAAAATAGAGCAGAGGTTTGCTCCAATAGTTGGCTCTATTTTTTGCTCTAAAATAAATATTTTATTTTAATATTTTGCTTTAATTTATTATATGGTCCTTTATTTTCAAAGTTTGCAAATTTTATCCATTTAGTTTATTTTGACATAAATATCTAATAAAACCATATTATTAAAAATTAAATTTTATTACAACACATAAATAGAAGATCGAAAGATTAATATATTATTATTTAAGCATCATCATTAGTGTACTTCTCCCACAAATGATCGAATGTTATCAAGACTTTGGAAGAAGGGAATAAACAACTCGTGGAGCAACTAAAGAAGACAAGTGCACAAAGACAACAATATTTGGAGATGCAAAGTAAGAGTTTAGCATTGAAAGAACTAAGAGAAGAAAACAAAGTTTTATATCGAGACTTAAATTCCATAGAAGATCCAAATCTCCGTGCATATCTTCAATCTGAACAAGCAAAAATCTTAAAGAAAAGACTTGATCAACAAGCTCCGTCGGCATCTACTTCCTTTGGACAATATTTCGATAATCTTAGTGGATCCGGAAACGACCTACCGGATTATTAAATCACTAGTTTATGGTGTGTTAATTTTTTTTTAACGGCAAGTTTAATTTTGTTTATGTACTTTTAGTTTATCATTTGTGTTGGTATTTGTGTTGGTATTGTTTTTCTAATTTAATATATGTTATTGTTATATTTTTAAATTTCAATTAATTTAGTAACTATGATATTAATATAAAATTATGTATGTATATAATTTAGTTATATAATTTAGTTATATAATTTTGTTTAGGTAAAAAATGATACTATATGAAAATTGAGGGAGTCCTTTGTAAATAAAAAAGTTGTGCTCTAAAAATAGAGATATGAATAGTGTTGCTCCAAATTTGGAGCAACACTATCATCTCTATTTTTAGAGCAAGATATAGAGCACCATTTGAGTGATTTTGCTCCAAATATAGAGTTTAGAGCAAGAAATAGATCACCATTGGAGATGCTCTTAGGTGATTATCTGCATTTATCTGTTTATTGAGGAAAATCTGTAAAAAGTATTTGTGTATGTTTTAGGTTTTAGACACATGTTCTTTATTTTAGTCTCTTCTTTGTTCCACTTCTGTCCTAGTATTACGTGTTACAGATCATGTTCTTGATTGTGTCTTAAGTAGCTAATAAACTTGGTGATTGTGGAATTTTGATCAGAATTCTAAGTTGCAGAATTTCAAGTTGCAGATTCTATCTTTTTTCTTCAATGCCGTGTTAATACAGAAACCATTAGATTCTTACGCTGATTGCAGTTTCCATTAGTGAAATGGTGATGATGAATGATAAGTGTAGGCTGTGTAGAGAGCTTTTAGCAGATTGCATATCGCTTTTGATTGCTAATTTTTGTCACTTGGTCTTGTGTTTCATGCACATCTACTCGTTTGATTAATAGGATATGGATGTGGTTGTTGTTGAAGTGGAGAAGACGAAGAGAGAATGGGAAGACGCTTACGAGAAGACCATCAGACATATCTTGGCTGTACAAGAGTATGGAAAATCAAGGAGAGGAGACGGAGGAGAGGAGAAGATTTCGCTACAGAGGCTCAACGGATTGGCTCAGGATGGTCTCTCTCTTCTCAATTCTCTTCTATTCAATTTGGATCTTCTCGCGCCTTAGCTTCCTTCTGATCGTCACGTTCAATCCACTCTTGAAACCTGGAAGAATAAATATCACAGGTATTTTATTTTTGTTTGGAATTTGGTTTACTATCTGCTTGTGGAATCTACAACATTCACAAGTAGAATAAAAGAACCTTGCATTTGTACAACGATGGTCGTCTTCAATGCAATCTAGAGGACGACAAATGATGTCATAGTGGGAGTTTAAACTTGCCTTAGGGAAAGTATTTCCTTGAGATTTAGTTTGATCTCAATTACTTAGAATTCTGGTACAACAAGAGAGTCAGAGTATGAGTTCAGGCTGGAAACTAATTTGAGTTTTGTCATTGTTTTTGTGTCAGTTTGAGGGTAAACCTGACAAGTGCTAATTTGCAAGCTAAGGATAACATGAGGAAAGCAGCTCAAGAAGAGGTAAAGCATTCTCTCTCTGCGCCGCTGTTTTTGAAATTTTTGTATAAAGAGTGCTTACAATGATTGTAGAGAGAGCTTCTCCTTGGTGGTGGAACAGAGTCCACCGTTCTCAGACGTAAACGACAGTATGTACTTCTTGGAGACTCTCCTATATCTATCCCTACTAAACCCAGCCTTTCAATTGGGTTTCCTGTTGAAAATGTATTATACTTTTGTTTATTGGTAAATAAATCACGCATTAACAAAAGAGTTCAGTGTTAGTTTCCAGTGAATCTAATTTAACATTTTTGGTTGTTTGTATAGCAAATGCTGGTGTGACATCGGATGCTGAAAGCATAACTGAAAGTCTCAGGCGTTCACGGCAGCTGATGGTGTAGGAGATGATGTCGTGCCTCTCGGACAACAGTTTGATGGTAACACAGTTCCAACTGTTAATATTCCTCTACAACAACGCATGCACGATGAACTCTGAAGCTCATTAGATGCTTGTAACATTGTTCATGAATCTATATATATATTACAAGGTTGATGTTGTTACTTAGGAATGCTCTCTATAGACATGTAGGATATGTTCCTTTACTAAGTTTTTGACTCACCATTACATAGTCACTTTTGACACCTTACAAACAATGAAGATACTTTTTTTTGCTTCGATTTCACAAGGGAAGTTCAATGGTGATTGATACGTGCTATCTTATTATAAAAAGTATGGTTTTCAAAGTTAGTAATTCACAAGATCGTGACACGTGTCAAATTTTTCTATCTGAGATTTTAACATGTGTCAAATAAAATTTTCCTTTTTAAAAAAAAAAAATTAAAAGGATAATTATAAATTTAAACAGTTTTAATTGTAAAAAGTTAATTATAAGGAAATTGTACATATATTTTCATATGAGTTTTTGCCATCTAGCAAACTATACATATATATAGAGAATTTATATGTATATTTCCATAAAAATTGAAATTATAAAATTATGCTAAACGTTTTATTTATAAGTTACTAACTCTACAAAAAAAAAATAATTTAAAATTAGAAAGAAAATTAAGAAAATTATGCAATGAGTTATTAATCCTATAAGAAAAAGATAGTAAGTAGTCACCTTTATATAAACAAATAGATTGTCTCATATTTTCTCATTAAGCAAACTAATTTCTTAACGATATTATATCATATCAATTATAAAAAAATACTTCGAATCACGATGTTTTTCTAAAAATAGCATGTGATATTCAGATCTAATGAATATATGACAATTGAGGCAAATTAAGAATTATGAACGGCGATAGACATAGACTAGAGTTATTGTCGGAGGGGCTTGGTCTAATGTCGGAGGAGATAAAGAAGGTGGAGTAATAAGAGAAGTTGGGGAAAGAGGATAAGAGGCGGTAGGAGTGGTGTTGGTGTTGATGATGGGGGATCAAGCTTGGTGGTGGTGGCGGCGGTAAATATTGATAAAGGTGGTGAGTCGGAATCAGCAAGATTCGGTATTGATGGTGGTGGTGATTGTGATAGTAGTGAGATTTAGTTGTGGTGGTGGGTCAGAGTAGTGAGACTCGGTAGTGATGCCCGACGAATGCGAGAAATTGAGATAGGGAAAAAAATAAATAAAGATATGGTGGTGAAGAAATCCGACGAGAGGGAGAGAAGGAGAAAGAAAGAGGAGTTCGAACAAAAATAAGAGAAATCTAATGAGAGATACATAGAGATTTGAGAATTAGACCATGTACATAACAGATTTTTTATGGGTATCATAAGCCTAAAAACATTAAATTAATGGGTAAAACAACTGATTTGGGCCTGAGTAGTATCACTGGAGTAATACTTGTGATACCAGTCTCTGATGACGTGGCGGCTCGGGATTAGTTTTTTTTTTTTTTTTTTTTTCAACAGCTTTATTGGATTGGTTCAAAAAAGCCAATGTGGAGGAATATTGTTTACATATGGAGATAGTTGCGGTAGGGTACGAACATTTCGTGCCAATTTATCCGCCTTCACATTCATATTTCTAGAAATTAACGATAAAAAGAAAAAATCAAACTCCTCCTTGTTGTTTTGAATCGCCTCCAAGTAAGTCGCGAACGCTGGCCACTCTTGTGGGGAAGACACCATCTTCACCAAATCGGAGCAGTCTGTAAGGAAAGGTACTTCTCTTTTATCTTGGCCGATAAAACGCGTTTTTGTGGGAAAGGAGAGAAAAAAAAATTATTATAATATTACCTTTTGTAATCCTATGTTTTAATATATTAATTTTTGATTTTGCAAATTCTTTTTTTTTTATGATACTTAAACCGATTTCACCAATGCAAACATATTTAGTAGGAGTATCATAAAAAATCTCAAACAATAAACAAACATTATAAATAATATTAAAAAATTTCTAATGATACTATATGAGTATCACCTATAACCATGCTCTTAGAAAGAAGAAAAAACGAAGAAATTTGTAATGTGGGCCTAAAATGACAAAAGTCATATAGCAAATTGAGGATATTTCATATTATCAATTAAGTTACATGACATGG